AGGAAGGAAGGAAGGAAGGAAGGAAGGAAGGAAGGAAGGAAGGAAGGGAGAAAACGTAAAAAAAAAAAATCCACAGAAGTTTTTTTGGTTTTATTTATCTTCACATCACACATTTGGAATTACATTGTTTCATAATTGAACCCAATTATGAGTCAGTTAATCCAAATGAGCAGGTTCCTATGGAAATTAAAGCATGATTAATTTGTATAACACTTTTCTTCCAAGGATCTCAAAGTATTACTCTTTGAGAAATATAAGGAGGGTGCTTTCTCCACCACAGTTTCCAGATAGGGAAGTAATGATAAGTATTTTCATTCTTAAGTGATTTGGGGTTGACAAAACATCTGTATGTACGAAATAGGGGCTCAGTAAATATTGTTTAAACATATGTACCTATTTCCTCATTAGATCTTTACTATAACCCAGAGATATAAGCAGGCATTATAAGCCCCTTTTTATGGATGGGAAAACTGAGGCTCACAGAGTTTAAACAAGCTGACCAGGATCACTCAGATGAAAAGTGGCAGAGCTGGGATGAAATTCAAACCCAGCTCCACAGTACATGCTTTCTCATTCATTCAGCAAGTATTTATTGAGCACCAACTATGTGTGCATTCGGAGGGGCCAATTGGTTTTTGAAAGATCAGTCTTTTCACTTTCTCCTCCTTGCTAGAAGAGCACCTCCAAGATCTCTGCATCAGGGAAGAGACAAGGGACACCATTTCCCCACCCACATCTCCTCCTGACCCTGCTGCTCCATGGTACCCACTACCTCTGCAGCTGTGCCCTGAGGATCAAGATAAGATGCTGCTGAGGGTCACAAGGCTAGGAAGCAGGTGGCTGTGATGATCATTCATGTTTAGAAATCACCAAGGATTCCTGGTTCCTTCTTCTTCCAGACACATGCATGATAGAATCGTACTTCCTGGCCCCCGGTGGCTGTGTGGGACCGTGCAACCAGATTTGGCCAGTGATTTATGAACAGAGGTGAGATTTGTCATCTCTGGGCCAGAGCACTTCATTGTCAAAGCAGGACCCACTAGAACTTCCCACTCCTTTTCCTCTGGCACGTCGGCTGCTCCATCAGCCTGGGGCCCTGTGTCAACACAGTCAGCTAACGTCTTCTGTGAACCCACAGTGGATGTGTCGCGTGAATGCAAAATAGGACTTTGTTGTTTTAAGCCACTGAGATTTTAGGGGTTATTTTTTACTGCAGCAAACTTAGCCCAGACAGAGTTGCAGCATTGCAAAAGGGAAACCCCAGCTTCAGCTGGGATGGGAGCATGGAGACCCCAGCATGGAAGCAGGACCCTCCGATGGCTCAGACGGCTTCTGCATGGCAGAAAAGGGGACTGTGACACGGTGGCAATGCTGGTACAACCACTCACTATGGCTCAGAAATGATATTATTGGCCAAATTCCTACCATTAACTCATATCTGCCTACTTAATAAGCTTTACCCTGTAGCTGGCTGGTTTATAGGAACAGCCGCCTAAAATACTCTCACTGGATATTTTAATTGAAAATCAGTGTGTGCAGCAATAATTTCCAAGATATAATTTTGAATGTGCCTGTCTCCATTTCTAATAGGATACTGTAAAACTTCTTCCCACACAACAATAACAAAACAAAACAAAACAAAAACTGTTTATTCTACACTCCAGAAACTACCTAACTCTAACTGTTGCTGAATAAAGCACAAATAAATCACTGACACTTGAGGAATCACATTGCTCAGCCTGCAGCAGGCGGTGACAGCCCAGCTCCACCCAGGTGAGGACAGGCCATCTCCACGACATAGGGGGAAGGGAAGCAAAGTGCCTCCTCCTCATCTGCTCAAGAACCAGAGTGTGGCGACTTCCGTGGCCCATCACAGATGGACCCCTCCCCTGGTGACTAGCCCCTTCCCTCGTTCAAACTCGGATCAAGTGCCCAGTTTTGTTTTGTTTGCTTCTTCTCCAGAATTCCTCCCACATAAGCCTGTGTCCTGTGCCGGGGTCAGAGAGGAAAAGCCACAGCCAACCCTAATGTCTGCTCGGATGAAGCATCAGGTAGCAAGAAGGTCCACAGCATTTCTGAGCAGCCACTCCCCTCCCCCATTTCCTCCTCCAGCACCCAGGGTGTGGGGGAGGGCAGCAGAAGCCACAGCAGCAGGTGGGACTGAGGCGCCCGGAAAACCCACGTGGCGTCCCCAGCTCTTCCTGCTGATCACACGTGCACAGCCAGGCCCGCAGGAGGCAGTGGCCCCGGCCCGCGGGAGGTCCAGAGTAACCCTTCCCGAGGACTCACAGCCGCCCACCTCACCTGGATGATGACAAGGACTCACAGCCGCCCACCTCACCTGGATGATGACCTCTTTTGCTCTATATTCCTCTTGCAGGGCCTTGGAAAATGTGCACACAAACGCCTGGAGCAAGGAGGAGAAACACGTGAGGCACCAGAGTGTGCTCCCTTGTCGCAGCCAACTTCCTCTGACTTCAAGGGGCACTGCAGAGACACTACCTGCTAGACCTTAAAATAGAGTGGGGAGCCGTGGGTACGGAGGGTACGGAGGGTACGGTGGGTACGGTGGGTACGGTGGGTACGGAGGGTACGGTGGGTACGGAGGGTACGGAGGGTACGGTGGGTACGGTGGGTACGGTGGGTACGGAGGGTACGGACGGGGTACGGAGGGGCCGGAGGGTACGGGGTAATGGGTACGGGTACGGAGGGTACGGAGGGTAATGGAGGGTACAGTGGTAATGGAGGGTACGTGTGGGTGATGTGTGGGTACGGAGGGACACGGGTACGGAGGGTACGGGTACGGAGGGTACGGAGGGCATGGGGGTAAAGCAGGTACACGGAGGGTACGGCACTGAGGGCACGGTGGTACAAGTGGAGGGTGGTCACGGTGGGAAATGGAGGGTACGGGTACGGAGGGTACGGAGGGTACGCAAAATGGGTACGGCCGTGTGGGGTACGGAGGGTACGTGTGGGTACAGGGTAATGGAGGGTACGTGGGTAATGAGGGTGACGGGTACGGAGGGTACTTGAGGGTATTGAGGGTACAGGGTACGGAGGGCTGTGTGGGTACGGTGGGTACAGAGGGGCACAGTGGTACGGTGGGTACACAGGGTACGGGGTATGGCGGTGGGTACAGTGGCACGGTGGGTACGGAGGGTGACTGGGGTAATGTGGGTAATGCAGGTACATGGAGGGTACTGAGGGTACGTGTGGGTACGGAGGAAATGTGGTGGGTATGGTGGGGTACACAGGTACGGTGGGCAGCAAGTGGTAATGAGGGTGACGGCACGGAGGGTAATGGAGGGTATGGAGGGTACGGAGGGTACGGAGGGTACGGAGGGTACGGTGGGTACGGTGGGTACGGTGGGTACAGTGGGTACGGAGGGTACGGTGGGTACGGTGGGTACGGTGGGTATGGAGGGTATGTAGTTTCAGCTGCACAGGGTGAATTTGTTCTGGAGATCGACTGTACAGCATGGTGACAAAAGCTAACAATCATAGACTGTATACCGGAAAATTGCTAAGCAAGTAGACCTCAGAGGTCCTCACCACAAAACAAAACAAAACCAAACAAAAAAACAGTAAGTACGTGAGATCATGGATATGTTAATTCGCTTGACTTGATCATTTCACAACATATACATATATCAACCTATCACCTTGCATACTGTTAATAGACACAATTTTTGTCAAATATGCCTTCATGAAGCTGGAGAGTGGGGCAGAAAGAGAGTAAGGGGAAAAATGAACCAGCTTGTCTTGATGGGAGTTAGCACTTCATCCCCTGCTCTGGGAAGAGGGCCCCCCATTCAGCAAGAATGTCTGTTTTGGGATAAACCCATCCCTAGGGCCACTGCATGTATTAACCTCCTTTGCAGAGCGCTCCCTCCTCCTCAGGCTGTGTTTATGACTAGCGCATGGTCAGGCCAGACCGCCCAGTCTGGAAGGAAGCTACAGTGTCACTTGTCAGCAGGAAGACGGCGAGGGCTCCCAGAGGAGGTGAGTGGGGTTGGCATCCCCGGAGGCTGGCCAGGTCGTGCACCACAGGGCTTCGTGTGCCGGGAGCAGGGGCTTTATTCTAATTTCCTCTTGGGCTTCCCAGTGACTAGCTCAGCCCTGCACAGATGCGAGCGTCTCCAGGCAAACCTTTCCATCAACTTGCCAGATGATCAAAGGAAATTGCCAACTGGGAGAAATAAGAGGAAGAAGGAAGAGACTTGGAAGTCATGACATCACTCACCTTGGAAGCTGAGTACATGGAGTAGAGAGGCCAAGGAAACAGGGCTATCCCGGAAGAAATGTTCAGGATGAGACCTTTCCGCCTGAAAGGCAAAGAAGCGAAGTTCCCATGGTTTTGTTGCCCTACCCGACCTTGGGTACAAAGAAAACAAAGGGGCCAGTGTGAACACTGCCGGACTCTGCCGTTCCCAGGCTTCCGCGTGTGCTGGGGGCTCTGCTTCCAGGAACGGTGAGTGAACTTCCCCCACCTTCCCCCGGAGGGTGCCACGCAGTCTGAATTTCCGGCGCACAGAGATGCCCCCTGGCAGTTATGTGACGTCACATAATGTGAGGGGCTTGCTCCTGGAGACAGAGGCCTTGCTACAGCTGCGGTCTCTCCACCAAAATACTGATAACCAGCTCAGCTCAGGATTTAAGGGGAGGGAATTCTTCTCCCCCAAATGTGACCACATGAGCTGCCGGTCCCTTTGGCCTCATGGACCCACAGCAGGACAGATGTCACATGCTGGAATGTTGTCTTGGGTAGAATTTCACAGTCCAGGACCTGCTCACACAGATACCCTATGCCAGTCTCCAGGAGCCTCACTTGTCCTTTTGAAATTCAGTATCCTTAATCCCTCCCAATCAGACAGATTCGATAGAGGAGTAGGGGACAAGAAACTGCAAATTAGAATCCAAGGCCAAGCCCCTTCTCCCTCTAGGGAGGATAAGCTACAAGCATTTGCTTTTAACGAACACCACCTGAGAAAAACCACCTCCCAAATACGCATTGGAATAGGGTGACGTAAATATGCAATCAGTGGAGGAGCTGGCGGAGTGGCCATTTTCACACTAAATCGGAGTATTCTTTCTGACAAAACCTGAAATTCCTAACAAAGAGATGGTCGTGATCTCAGGACAACTTCTGAAGTTTTCTTTTACACTCGACATTAGTTAATTTTTCTTTAATCCAGTGCGTGTTGAAACTGCCCTTGTCTTCCTCCCTCCGATAGTGTTACATTTGACCTTCACGTCAGATTGTCTATTTGCAGAGCTGGCCTGGCCCGGAACGTTATGTTTTTTTCCCATAATCACCATGTGCTTTCATCATAGCTGTTACCGTTTGTGAAAGCACAGCCAGCTGGACTCTGTGTCCCAGTCCCCGAGTTAGCTGACTGCCAGGGCAGGGAGGCCATGTTGCTCCACACTTTTTTGAAGAAGGCCTTACCTTGATTCCATATGTTTCAGAATTAGCTGTGTCATCTACAAGAGAAGGCCAAAGGTAAGCCCGACAAGGAACTAAGTAGCAGTGCAAGGGGGCGGGATGGAATGGGGAAGGGAGAGCGGGAGAAGCTGGGAAAGAGCGTCATCTTCTCAGAAGGCCTTGAAAATTGCTGGCACTCGTTGAAGGTCACTATGGCCACATTAGAGTCTGGCTGGAACCCACAGGAGCCAGCCTAGACAAATGACAGGCTGTTCTGGGGCCTCTGGTTTCTTCCCCCTAAATCTAATGTCTTCCTGGGAAAAGAGAGCAGTGAAAAATTGGGTGAATTGGCTTACGGCTGTGGGACCAACACAGAGGTTCCCATGATATTCTTCATTCTGCCGGACAGGCCAAAGTGGACTGGCCATGAGTTGGATCTGGGGAGCTATGCGGAAACCTAACAAGACTCTGCAGAAAGAAGAACGCCTCTTCCACTCAACAGCAGCCGCTTACGCAGCCTGCAGCTGGGCTGTGAAATAGCTCTGTGCACACAGTGCGTGGCCACTCCTGTGTATCGGAATCACAAGAGCCTTGAGAAGCCCCTTCCCCCTCCCAGCCTACAGACCCCTGAAAAGGTCTTCTCTGCCATTTCGGGAGCCTAAAAGAACTTTTTGTTTCAAAATTACAAGGTACACATTCTACAAACGAAGGAAGAGGCAACCCCATGGACTGAAATGTTCTCTGAGGTAGAATTGACCGGAATCAGGCCTGGCAGGCCTGGAGCAGATCCTGACTGCAGCAGGTTTGAGACAAGGGACCCAAGTGAAAGGAGAGGGGCAGAGACAGCAAGGCACCTGGGGACTGGAAGACACAGGCCGCCCATTTCTCGATGCTGTCTAGGGGCCCTGCAGCAGCTCCTCGCAGGTGCCCGCTCCCAGGCCAGGCCCCAGCCTGTCTCAGAGCCTCCAGGGAATGTCTTCGCTGCTGGGGGACCAGGGGGCCAGGGCAGTGAGGCGGGGGGGCGGGGGCTCTCTAGAACCACTAGGCTGCCTGTGGAACACTGGATTTTGAGGAAGAAGAGGGAGGATGAGGGACGAGATGGTGTCAGCCCCCTTTCCGTGAATGACTTCCTAGGGATATTGTATAAGCCTTTTCAGCCAGCACCCACATTGCCTCAAAGCCTCCTGAACGAACTCACTAGCCCCATTGGCTGAACGATCCTAATTAGAGAGACAACACTGAATCTCGTGGGTCCCTGCCTCAAGGCTTCCCATATTCAGTTTCTTATTCCACCTTCCCTTTGCCCTCAAACGCATATTCTCCCATCCCTGCCCCGAAGAGCACTCGACTGTCTCCAGATGGCTCCTTTGAAATAGTGCAGCTTCTCTAGTCACGTTTCTAACCAGCAAGGTTCACTGGGGCATGGTATACTTAGAAGCTAAACTTCAATTAATTTTATTTGTTACTTAGGGAACTTAGTGTTTATCAATACATAATTTTTTTAAGCAAATCAAAGCATTTCTCTGCTAAAGGAGTCAGAGGGTTGTCAAGTACATTTGGGAAATGCCTATGATCAAACAGCCCAAGACTAAAAGGTCAGTTGTAAAATAACGTGAAAGACTTTAGTGGTGAGGCTGCAGATGACAGTTAGACACATAAAACTCATAATTACATCAGCTGGGGGCTCCAAAAAGCCATCGATTGCTAAGCATAAAAAGATGTGTGTACCCCGTAGCAACTGAGCAGGAAACCATAAAATGCCAGCATGCTTACAGAAAAACAACCAAACAGTTGTCAGCTCAACTCACCCACCTGAAAAAAAAATTTTTTTGTCTACTCTGCCTCCATTTCCCCTCCTTATCTTAACAGCAGCCTGGCTTTCTTTGGGAAATCTGTCCTCCGCTACTGCCCATCCACGGTGCTCAGACGGGTGAGACTGAGCCTCCGCTACTCTCCAACCAGGGTCCCAGCTCCTTGAAACCAGGAATCAGCCTTTACTCATCCCTGCAGTCCCACTGACCTTCCAGAGTGGTCACCGAGGCTGCCATATACAGCTGTGAATGTTGTGTACTGAGCGAGGTGCCCAGCTGTGGGGTTAGCGCAGGTGGGAAGCTCAGAGCTCACTCACAAGCCACGTGCCCTAGTAGAGGAAGAGGGCTCTGTCCCCAGAGGAAGGGGGAACACGTCATTCACACAAAATCCTCATCTACTCACCAAGTCATGCAGCCGCAAGCTGTGTCCATTCTTAAACAGTACCTTTCTCTAAATGGTCTGTATAGGATAGCTTTGAGGGACTCGTGCTATACATCTTTGTGCAGCTGACCCTCATCAAAGAACTTGAATGCTGAATGGTGCCTAAGACATCTCTTGATCCACAGCCATTTTATTTTTATTTTCATTTTTATTTTTTGTTTTTTTGAGATAGAGTCTTGCTCTGTCACCCAGGCTGGAGTGCAGTGGTGCGATCTCGGCTCACTGCAACCTCTGCCTCCCCGGCTCAGGAGATTCTCCTGCCTCAGCCCCCCAAGTAGCTGGGATTACAGGCACCTGCCACCACACCCAGCTGATTTTTGTATTTTTAGTAGAGACAGGGTTTCACCATGTTAGCCAGGATGGTCTCGATCTCCTGACCTCGTGATCCACCTGCCTCAGCCTCCCAAAGTGCTGGGATTACAGACATGAGCCACCGCGCCCAGCTGATCCACAGCCTTTTAATAGCAGATGCAGAACCTCAAGTTCAAGGGGGCTACATAACGTGTCCAATGCTGTCCAACTAATTAGTAGCTGTGCTGGAACCAGAACACAGATGAACTTTGATTCAACAAATATTTATTGAACAACAAAAGTTCAGAAAATGTAAGCCACGCCCTCCATCAGTTTTCCAAAGTGAGCTTTCCTCTATCTACAAAGCCTAAAATTAGAGGAAGATACTAATTTTTTTTAAGTTGCCTCTGAATCCTGAATACATTTCAGCATCATCAAGCTTAATATGTTCCGACGTGTGACAAAACTGAAAGCAGAAATAGAATTCAGGTACAAGGGAGAGTTGAATCCATTACTGTATTTTCTAGATGAAAAACAGGACAAGACAATTACAAGACCACGACATGGCCTCTCAACTAAGTGCGGTTCGATTTCAAAGAATGCTGCCTCTACAGTGGACGGGCACAATTCTCCTCAGTCGCCAAACTTCAACAGCTACTACACGTTAATGCATTTCGCACATATATTGATCACATACCTTGACTACGGAGGTGATGTTACAATGGATGAGGTTCTGTAATAAATAATCACAGCCACACATCAGCCGGATGATTAGAGAAATTCTCCTGGAAAGTAGTCAGTGCTAAAGAACCATGAAGACGGTAAAAGTGCATGTCTGAGCGGTTTCATCATTCGCCCTGCAAATTAGGCTCCTGACTGACTTCCAGCAAGCATGCACTAGCGTCCAGACACATCTGACTCCCATCTGTCCTTCTGTACCTATGTCATGTTGACTAGACGTCAATTAAGAGTTTCCGGGAAAACTTGGAACTATATTACTGGAGCAATATACATACGGTTTTTCAAAGAGACTATTCCATTCCCAGCTGGAGGAAGAGGGGTTAGCATATGTGAGTCTAGGAGAACAGAAAGGCAGATGGTTGTATAATATAAGGTAGAGGTTCTGGGCTATGGAGGGCAGGTAAAGAACCCACTAGAATCACCCAAGATAAAGAGAAAAGAAAAGAGGATGGACACAGACACTAGCGCAAACACAGACACACACAGGCAGAGGAGCAAGCCTGGAACTTGCTTCGTGGGGAGGCATAGACTTGTGCCAGAAACAGAGTGTGGGAGACGGAGCCCACACAGGAGATGTGTGGTCCTGAGAGGAGTTTGGTGAGGATGTGCAGCAGACTCGGGGCCTACACAGGACTGCAGGATACCTGCAGAAGCGGGGGATGGAAGCATGAGGGCCTGCTCAGGTTGGTGCAGCCCTGTGACTCCAAAGGTCAGGGCCTAAGGAAGGGTAAACAAATTGTGCCTTCGAAAACTGTTAAATGCGGCCGGGCGCGGTGGTTCACACCTGTCACCCCAGTATTTTGGGAGGCCGAGCCGGGCGGATTACCTGAGGTCAGGCGTTCGAGAGCAGCCTGACCAACATGGTGAAACCCCATCTCTACTAAAAATACAAAAATTAGCTGGGTGTGGTGGTGCATGCCTGTCATCCCAGCTACTCAGGAGGCTAAGGCAGGAGAATAGCTGGAACCCAGGAGGCGGAGGTTGCAGTGAGCCGAGATCATGTCACTATACTCCAGCCTGGGCGACAGAGGGAGACTCCATCTCAAAAAGAAAAAAAAAAGGAACTGTTAAATCCATTAAAAATGTACTCCCAACCAACAACGGCAGCCATGGGTCTGAGTCAAGCTTACTGAACTTATAGTCCGGCCAGCCACAGAGTTTATGTCACATACTTCCCTCACACTAAAAGTTAAACAAATCTTGGTACCTGGGAAGACAGAGAAAGCCAAAGAGCTGGTCTTCTCCCACGTGTGGTCACAGCTGCGAATGTGTTAGGCAGAATTACGCTTTATAGAGTGGAGTGCAGCACCCCAAAAGAATGGGACAATGGACAGGTAAGTTTTGACGTGCAGAGAAGAAGGAAGATGTCCATATCCCAGAGATATCACGAAAAGTGGTACTGCTGACTATGGATCGAGTGCTCAGGTGAAGAGAAAAGGGGGCCTGAATACACACAGTCCAGGATTTCGGCCGGATGCACGCTTCCATCACTCGTTCCCTGGCCTGACTCATTACCCAGCCAGGAGACCCAGAACCTGGGTAAGAAGAAAGTATACACAGAAGAGCACAAGTCTACCTGGATTTCATCTGGCGCGTTCAGGAAATGGCTTGGGAGAAGGTTTGGAAGCATTCCAACATTGTTGACTAGCAGAAAGAAGCAAAACAAAAATGTGTCAGAATATCAGGTGGGAGATTTTCCCAAAGAAACATGTACAAAAAGATTGACACGTAAGGTTGCTCATCACAGTGTGATTTGATAACAGTGAGGAAACTGGAGGGAAAATTTTGTCCCGTAGTAGGAGACACCATCAATGAATCATGGGGTGGTCATACGTTGGAATGCAGTGTAGTCATTAAAATCTATGACTGGGCTGTTTACATGGGAGAAGATGCATGATGTAAGTTTTTTTAAAATATATGACAAAACAGCACATATGTATAATTCTGGTTTTGAAAATACGTGTGTTTAGGATTAGAAAAGTATGCACCAAAAGGCTATCTCAGAGTATTGAGATTTTAAGAGATTCATATTTATTTTATCAGCCTGTCTATTCTTTCCAATCTTTCTGCAATGATATACTGTACACTTTCATATATAAAAATGTAATTATTTTTAAAATTCAGCAGAAGGTTTAGAAATCCAATTTGACTTTCTTCTATGTATACTATAAACACTGCACTGTGTACATGGCCATAAAATAGCTTGTCTGTAAATCATTACAGAAACAAATACTATGTTTTCTGAATAAGAAAGAGTCAATTCTCAACTAACTATAGTATTTCATGGATTAATCACAGCAATGTTTGTTTGCTAAACTAATTCCTTTAGGCCAATGTTTCTGGGATTCTTTTTCTGCCAAATGCCAACACCAGTTCCATAAAAGAAAATTCATTTTAATATTAGAAAATATAGTCGGTCCGGCTGGGTGCGGTGACTCACACCTGTAATCCCAGCACTTTGGGAGGCCGAGGCGGGTGGATCACAAGGTCAAGAGTTTGAGAGCAGCATGGCCAATAAGGTGAAACCCTGTCTCTACTAAAAATACAAAAATTAGCTGGGCGTGGTGGCGGGCGCCTGTAGTCCCAGTTGCTTGGGAGGCTGAGGCAGGATCATCGCTCGAACCTGGGAGGCAGAGGTTGCTGTGAGCCAGGATCGCACCATTGCACTCCAGCCTGGCGACACAGCGAGACTCCGTCTCAAATTTAAAAAAGAAAATATAGTTGGGGGTTGAAATATGTATGTTTGATACATTCCAAACCAATATATACATTTTTTTATTCAGTGACACCTCTAGAAGAAGTGTGCTTTGATATTTAACTTAATGCTATAGCTTAAAATATAGTCATGGTTTCAGTATAAATCACCATGAAATAATCAGGTATCACTAATCAGTGTCAGGTTATTTCACTGATGTATTACAACAAGATTTGCATCTTGCAATTTACTCACCTAAAATTCCAATTTCTAAGCCTGTAAGTTTTTCTTTAATATGCTCGTAGATGTCATCTTTGGTAAAATCTGCTTGTATAATCTTCACACTCCTCCCTGTAGTCTGCTCTACATGAGAGACAACAGTTTTTTTAATGAACAGGGATCCAGATGCCCCTTGCCCGTGAAGTTTCCCCCAGTGCTCCCGTATTACCTGAGCAGACATTGAAGAGGACAGCCCATTGCCCCAAACAGAAATGGGAGATGGTGCTGGGTAAATGCTGGGAGGTGCTAAGAGATTGGTGAATGGTGGTTTCTACGTGTCTCTAAGAGTTACTGCAGGGACGCATATATGCATTAAGATAGATTTACTGCAGCGGTTCTCAAAGTGGAGTCCACAAACCACAGCATCAGGGTTACCGGGAAACTTGTCAGAAATGCACATTCTCGGGCTCTACCCCAGACCCACTGCATCGGAAACTGTGGGTGAAGCCCAGCCAGCCACCTGCTTCACACACCTCCGAGTGACTCTGCTGCTTGCTCAAGTTTGAGACGTCGGACTGACAGCTGTAAAAGCAAGGTCTGACACTGCCTCTGCTCACAAGTGTCAAGTCTCCTCCACACAGACCCACCAACTCTTTGTATTTGTCCAATGCTTTAGCATTCACAGAGCATTTACAGACACGATGTCTTATGGTCATCGTCCCTACTACATTCTAAAGTAGACATTATGGTTTTCATTTTCCAGAGAAGAAAATGAAGGCTCAGAGAAGCTAACTGACATACCCAAGACCGTCCACTCTCTGGTCACTCCAAGTTCAATGCGCTCCCCACTACTCTGTGTTTACTTGCCTTCTGTGGGAGTTTTCCAGCAGATGTGAAAGCAACAAGCAGAGTTTACCAGTGGCTTGGGGAGCTGCTTTGCTTTGGAGTTAGCTGGTATTTGTGGGCCAAGCAATCTTGAGGCATAGTTTGGGGGTGGACAATGCTTTCAGGACAAAGACACTACTTACTTTCCAAAACGATGATAAGAAGCACATTTCAGCATTGTGAGGCAAACACTGAGGACTGTCTCAGTCCTAGTCAAAGTTACTTCTGATATCCAGACACAGAACAAAAGCAGAATTCATGGGTTCAAGGGCACTGTGCTCCACGGTGTGACTGCACAGCCCACACCTCCCACACCCATCTCCTGTCCCAGATCTCCCCCAGGGAGACAAGGCTCAACCCTGACAACCCACCATGGTCTTCACAAGTCTCCAGAACTAACGTCTCATCCCTTTGAGTTAAAGAGTTTATTAATTATTAAATTAATAATTATTAAAATTGAAAGGTCCCAAAAGAAATATGATTATCATTATTAACAAAAGAACACTTCAGAGCAAATCATAATAATAAAACATTGTGATATAAAAGTTGCTTCAGGGTTGTACAGTGTACAACCTCCACGTCCATACATGAGGATCCTGGATCAAAACTGTTTTTAAAATCTGACAAACACCAGTAAGCATTGTCACTCATCCTCCTGCGAAGAGCAGAGCATAGGCATAGGGAAGGGAAGTCCCAAACACTGCTCTTGTTTTTGTGTTTGTTTTGAGACGGAGTCTCGCTCTGTCACCCAGGCTGGAGTGCAGTGGCTCCATCTGGGCTCACTGCAAGCTCCGCCTCCCGGGTTCACCCCGTTCTCCTGCCTCAGCCTCACGAGTAACTGGGACTACAGGCGCCACCACCGTGCCTGGCTAATTGTTTGTATTTTTAGTAGAGACGGGGTTTCACCGTGTTAGCCAGGATGGTCTTGATCTCCTGACCTCATGATCCTCCCGCGTCCTCCCAAAGTGCTGGGATTACAGGCGTGAGCCACCGCGCCCGGCCACTGATCTTGCTTTTGAAGGGAGTGGCAGAAGCAACCAGGCAGCCAGGGCCTCAAGGATGAGCAGGGCTGATCTAGCGACGAAGGCACCAACCCAAAGGAGAAAGTGGACCTATCTGTGCCTCAGCTGGTTCCTGCTTCCCCCAGCTCACAGAGCCAGTGTGCACTGAAGGTGACACCTTCCATCCCGCCCTCTGCTTGGTAACCAGGCTGCCCAGGAGAGTTGGTGCCCCAGGCTCTGAGAGCAGATGTGGGGATGCCAAGTATGTCAGCTGGCAGGGTGGGCGCAGGCTTGGTTGGTGGGCTCCACACACATCTCCCTTGTTTGGGGGTCACTCACCGATCTCTGTGGCAACGGCCTCTAGTTTTTCCAGCGTCCGGCTGATAAGCACAACATCGAGTCCCCGTCTTGCTAGCTGAGAGTGGGAGTGAAAAACCAAAAGAGACAAGGACGGTGAGCAGACAGGGAGGGTTTGTGTCCAGCTGACTTGGTCCCGAGGCTGTGCGTGTCCTGACAGCGTGACGTGGTGGCTTCACCTGGGTTGAAGTGTGCAGAACGTGACAAAGCTTTCTGGGCTAGGAACAGCGCAACCCCAGTGGCCCAGGCTAGCTAGCAGGCCATCATGAGAGGAGTTAACGCTTGTGTGTTTATTGTGTGCCGGGGACTTTTCTAAGTGCTTTCCTTGTCCAGGACCACAAACTGAAAGTGCTTCTCTGAAGTTCCTGGGCTCAGCTACACATCAGAATTTAAAATACTGGGGACTTTATACTATTCCTTAAGTAGCAGGGGGTGGAGCAGCATTCCAGAGTAAAAGCAGTGTTTCTGCCCCTACCTTTTTTTTTTTTTTTTTTTTTTTTTTTTGCAGTAGAGTCTCGCTGTGTCGCCCAGGCTGGAGTGTAGTGGTGCAATCTCAGCTCACTGCAACTTCCAACTCCCAGGTTCGAGCGATTCTCCTGCCTCAGCCTCCCAAGTAGCTGGATTACAGGCATGCGCCGCCAAGCCCAGCTAATTTTTATATTTTTAGTAGAAACGGGGTTTCCCCATGTGTAAAGACGGGGTTTCCCCGTGTTGGCCAGGCTGGTCTCAAACTCCTGACCTCATGTGATCCGCCCACCTCAGCCTCCCAAAGTGCTGGGATTACAGGCCTGAGCCACCGCGCCCGGACATCTGCCCCAACTTTTGAGCTGCTTCCTAAGCACTAGGACACCCTTCTTGCGGCTTCCTCGGCCTGAGACCTTTCTTCCTGTTTTCCGACCCCCGACAGAAGAGAAAATGGGATGGGGAGCACAGGGTGGAGAGCTCGACGTGTCCCCTGAGGCCAGCAGGGCGGCCCTGCAGAGTGGATAACACCTGGACTCCCGAGGGCTACGTGACGGGGTGGGGAACCATGTGCTTCACACAGAGCAGTTTCGGAGAGATTCCACGGGGGACGTGTAAACATGCGTCGCTGGAGGTGTGTCTGTATCTAAAACTGTTACCAGTGAGAAAAGTTAGTTTTTCCTGAAAGATGAAAGGAAAAACCAACATTCGTTTAAACAGAGACGGATGACATTTGAATTAGTGACAAAGGCCCCAGTTTATTGAAATCTGTCTGTGATTTCAAATGATTCATACTGTTATTTTCTTTAATTGTGGTAAAATACAACATAGCAAAATCTACCATCTTAAGAAAAATGTGGAATACTTTACGAATTTCTGTGTCATCCTTGGGAACTCATGCTAATGTTCTCTGTAGGGTTCCAATTTTAGTATATGTGTTGCAGAAACAAGCACTACGCTGTTATTTTAAGAAGTTATGTATTATAGGCTGGGCACGGTGGCTCACACCTGTAATCCCAGCACTCTGGGAGGCCAAGGCAGGCAGACCACCTGAGGTCAGGAGTTCAAGACCAGCCTGGCCAACATGGTGAAACCCTGTCTCTACTAAAAATACAAAAAAAAAAAAAAATTAACTGGGCGTGATGGCGCACGCCTGTGTTCCCATCTATTTGGGAGGCTGCAGCAAGAGAATCGCTTGAATCCGGGAGGTGGTGGTTGCAGTGATCCAAGATTGTGCCACCGTACTCCAGCCTGGGTGACAGAGCAAGACTCCGTCTCACAAGAAAGAGTTACATATTATAGAAAACACATAAGAAGCTGAATTATGGTCTATAAGATATAGTCTCCAATAGCCAGTAATTCACTATAGCCCACGGTCTCAGAATCACCCAAGGAGATGTCAAAAAAAAAAAAAAAAAAAAAAAAACACCGATTCCCACCAAACCATCTGATATGGTTTGGATCTCCTGTCAAATTGTAATCCCCAGTGTTGGAGGTGGGGCCTGGTGTGAGGTGATTAGATCGTGGGGACCATTTCTCATGGTTTAACACCATCCCCCAGGTGCTGTCCGTGGTAAGAGTGAGTCATTCAGGGATCCCGTGGTTTAGAAGTGTGTGGCACCTCCCCCCTCTTCCTGCTGCTCCAGCCATGTGATGTGCTCACTTCCTTTTTGCCTTCCGCAGTGCTTGTAAGTTTCCTGAGGCCTCCACAGCTGAGCAAATGCAAGCATCATCCTTCCTGTACAGCGTGCAGAACCGTGAGCCAATTAAACCTCTTTTCTTCATAAATTACCCAGTCTCAGGTATTTCTTTATAGCAGTGCAAGAACAAAATAATACACCATCCTGATAAAAATCTCTGGGGTGGAAGCCTCAGGATTTTCATCTTTTTCTTTTTGTATTTATTAAATTATACTATTATATGCACAAATACCTCCTCATTGTAACAGATTCCAACAATGCCAAGGAAAAAAATGTCTCCAAGCCTGCCCCTGCCCATTTCCCCACCTACCCCTAGGCGCCCACCACCTTTAGATTGTTGTTGAGCCTTCCCTAACTTTTTCTCTACATTTACAGGCATATATCGGCACATATAGAAATAAAGGTTTGTTTTGTGAATTTTATTTATTTTTATCCTACATCAATGACATTATAAGCAGTGTCCTGCAATGTTCTTTTTAACTTAATGACATATTTTATCTCTAAGAATCGTGTATATTTCCATAGCAGTCCACGAAGAACCACTTGATTCTTTTCTATTGCTCCGTGGTATTCTAGAGTTCACCTTTGAACGAGCACTTAGGGTATTTCCAAGTTTTTCTATTACCAATCTTGCTACAGTGAAAGACCTTCTATATAGCTCTTTGTATATATGAGTAAATTAATTCCTATATACTGTAGAGGAATATTTGGGACTGCAGATGCCATCATGCCTGGCTAACTCTTTATTTTTTTGTAGAGATGAGGTCTCACTATGTCGGCCAGGCTGGTCTTGAACTCCTGGGCTCAAGTAATCTTCCCGCCTCAGCCTCCCAAAGTGCCAGGATTACAGGGGTAAGCCACCACACCTGGCCCCTTTATTGTTATCCAATTTTCCAATTATCAGTGGGGCCGAGCATCATTTGCTATGTTATGTGTGAGTTACCAGTACATACCCCTTGCCCATTCTTCTATGGAGTAACTTATCATTTTCTTATCAATTTGTAGAAGTCATATATATCCTGGGTATTGATTATTTGCCTGCCATGTACATAGCAAGTATTTTCTACTTTGTTTCTGGTGCCCTTGTCATACATTATATACTACTTGTAATGTTATCAAATTTGTGAATGTTTTCCTTGTTTTATATGTTCTTTTTGATTTTCCTTAACTTCAAGGATATAAATATGTTTTTCTATATCCTTTTTGTTTATTTTTGAGAATGGTATGAGGTTGAAATTATTCCACAATATGTTTTTCAAATTGGGTGCCTGATTGTCTCAACAACATTCTCCACTTTGTCCATTCATTCCTAATTTAAAATGTTGACTTAGTCATATGCTCAATGCTCATGTGTGCCTGGGGCTGTTTCTGGTCTATCCTTTCTGTTGCACTCACCTATTTATCGATCTCCACGCCAGGGCCACTTCTGATTTAATCATAAGCTTATATTAGCCTTTGATAGCTTTCCAATATTTGTGTAGTTTTGACCTCATTATCTTAGCTGACCCCTCCTATACAATGTTATGGAGGCTCCTACCATTTATTATTCTCTTTTGAAATTTTATTTCATCTTCTTTGTTTAATCTTCCAAATAAATGACAAAATGGTCTAGACAAGTATTAAAGTCGGGATATTTAGGGGAAAATTTGTATCTTTGCAGGAATCAGTTGTCTTACCCATAAGTATATTATAGTAACCATTTTTTTTCAAATCTCATATAGCCTTCTAAACATTTAAATGATTTTTCATGTAAATCCTGGACATTTCTTGTTAGGTTTGTGTTAATTAGGATAACATTAGTTGCTGTAACAAATCACCCTCTATAATCTCAGCCATTTAACACAAAGGAAGTCTGTTTTTGTCTTATGTAGCAGACCCTATTTCACATTTGGGAACCCATTCAGGACCCAAAGCTGAGAGAGCATTGGTCATCTTTACTGCCAGGTCTCTAAGATTACTCTGGGCTTTGCCATCCAGCTAGTGCCAGGATTGAGAGAGGCTGGAGAAGATGTGCCTCTCTGTTAACCACCTTGATCAAGAAGTGACCCACATCCTTTCTGCTTGCTTTCATTTGCAGAATGAGTCTCATGGCCTCACACAGATGTCAAGGAGCCTGGGAAGTGCCTTGCTGGGAGCCACTTACCAGCTGCAACTGCACTGAAAGACGAGAGAGTAGGGATCTGGGTGGACATTGAGTTGCTCCTGCCACCAGGATCTTATGTTTATTCACCGCCATGGTGACTTGAATTATTTTGGATAGAAGACACTTCAGGATTAAGGAGGTAGGTTCAATTCCTGTCTCTACCACTTATTTCTGTCAGCGCAAGTCAGTTGTTCTGGGGATCACAGAAGGGAATACATTCAAAAGTGTGTGGCGTAGCTGGGCACATTGGCTCACACCTGTAATCCCAGCACTTTGGAAGGCTGAGGCGGGCAGATCATGAGGTCAGGAGTTCAAGACCAGCCTGACCAACATGGTGAAACCTTCTCTCTACTAAAAATATAAAAATTAGCCGGGCATGGTGGCGCACTCCTGTAGTCCCAGCTACTCAGTGGGCTGAGGCAGGAGAATCACTTGAACCCGGGAGGCAGAGCTTGCAGTGGGCCGAGATCGCGCCACTGCACTCCAGCCTGGACGACAGAGCGAGACTCTGTCTCAAAAAAAAAAAAAAAAAAGTGTGTGGCAGAGAATCTGTCACATAAGAAGCCCTCAATTGTGTTACCTATTTTTCTATATATTCTAATTGGTTATTAATCGTGAGTGGGAGCTCTTTAAACAGCCACCTCACAGAATTTTTTATTTGTTCTGATAGTCTGTTCATCAGTGTTTGGTTTTCATCACAGACAATAGTATTCTCTACAAAGAGTACAGTTTTGTCCCTTTCTTTCCAATATTTGCATGTTTTTGGCCTCATGATCTTGGCAGACACTTCCAACACTTACAGTGTTTCTCAGGATGCAAGCATGAGGTTTCCTGTCACTTCTGGTAGATGTTCTTTATCAATTTAAGAACAATTACATCTGTTCCTTTTTTCCAAATTACTTTTTAAATAAACTGCTGGATTCCGTTGGCAAATATTTAAATTGGATCATACTTTTCTGATGCCATCCTTGTCCCATTTTGGTATCCGAGTCATGGTCATCCGTCAGGATAATTTATCAAACATGTACGGGATCAACTTGTCCCAGGAGCTTCCCAGTTTTAAAACTGAAAGTCCCACATCTGAAATCACCTTTGCAAAAATTGTAACAGTGAGAAAATTATGGCAATAAGAGATCTGATTTAATCAACCCCTTATCTTGCCCTTAAGCTTTCAAATTATCCTTAATTATTCTTGGGTTTGGGCCAAGCTAACTTTGGGAGATACTTAGTTTATAATTTAAAATAGAACAACCCGTTCCCAAAACTCAACCACCTTGGTAGAGCTAATGAAGGGCCACCAGGCTAGGGAGAGGAGAGGAGCCTGAACTCTGCTAAGGTGTAGACATAAAGGATTACCCAGCATTATATTGGAAGTCAGGAGATAGGCAGCTTCCCCCAGTTACTCTTGCAGACAAATATCACTATTGTACAAGCCAAGATTGGCCTTTTGAGATATCTTTTCAGGTTTTTTGCATTTCTGATGACTGATGGTTCCACCTTGACCTGCCAGTCACTCCTGTGGTCTCCCATTCAGCCGGTTCTGCGTGAATTAAGCTCTTTTTCTATTGCAGTTCTGCTGTCTTGATAAATCAGCTCGACCTCGGCAGCAGGCAAAATGAACCCGTTGGGTGGTTACACATCCAAGGAACCCTCCAAGCACAGAAAAATCAAAAATCAAAGTTAACCATCCTAGAAATATGGGGGAGCTTTTTCTTATTCCTTGAGGATTTGGTAATATTGTAAAAAATGTCTGGACATTTTATTCAGCTGTAGCTCTTCATAACTGCCTCTTTCATTTTTTTCATGACTACTAATCGCTTGGTGTTTTTCTACTTCTTCTTAAGCCAATTATGATCATTTATATTTTCACAGAAAATTGTTTATTTCATCCAGATTTTCAATTTTTCAGTACAAAGATTTAAATAGGATTTTCTTCCTCTCTTTTTCTTCTTCCTCTTCTTTTTAAAATAAATTTCCTCTTCTGTAGCTAGGTTCCTAAAATTGGTCCTTTTCTTTCTTCTTTTTTGTTCTTCTTCTTTATTTTTTTCTGAGACAGCATCTCACTCGTCACCCAGGCTGGAATGCAATAGCTAGATCAGAGCTTACTGTAATCTTGAACTCCCAGGCTCCAGCAATCCTCCCACCTCAGCCTCCTGAGTAGCTGGGATTACAGGTGTGTGCTACCATTCCTGGCTAATTTTCTAATTTTTTGTGTATATGAGGTCTCACTACTTTGCCCAGGCTAGCCTCAGACTCCTGACTTCAAGGGATCCTCCTGCCTCCTCCTCGCAAAGTGCTGGGATTATAGGCATCAGCCACAGAGACGGACCCCCTTTTTCTTTTTTTTAATTTAAGACTTTTCAAAGATTTGTCTCTTATTTGGCATTTTTAAAGAATTGGTTTGACTGTTGGTTTGCTTTAAACGGATCAATTCCATTTCTTCCTGTGTTTTCTATATCATCAGTTTTTGTTCTCCATTAATTTCCTCCTTGTATCTCTTTTGGATTTTTTTTTTTTTGAGACGGAGTCTCACTCTGTGGCCCAGGCTGGAGTGCAGTGGCGGATCTCGGCTCACTGCAAGCTCTGCCTCCCAGGTTCACACCATTCTCCTGCCTCAGCGTCCTGAGTAGCTGGGACTACAGGCGCCGCCACCACACCCGGCTAATTTTTTGTATTTTTTAGTAGAGACGGGGTTTCACCGTGTTAGCCAGGATGGTCTCAATCTCCTGACCTCGTGAGCCACCGGCCCGGCCTCCCAGAGAGCTGGGATTACAGGCTGAGCCCCGCGCCCGGCCGCTGATCTTGCTTTTGAAAGGAGTGGCAGAAGCAATCAGGCTTCTTGTTCCTTTTCTAGAGTTTCTTGGAAGCTGAATCTGTTTATAATCTTTCTTCTTTTCTGACAGATGCCTTTAAAGCCGAAAGTTTCCATCTGCGTAGCACCTTGGCTGCAATTCATGAGAGTACCCACTTTTATTTTTTCTGTAATCTTAGAAGAACACTGGAGAATACTTTCTGAGTATAGGTGGGGATGGATACCATTTTCTAACGTTATTTTTAATTTTATTGCATGGTGGTTAGTGAATGGAATGGTATATCTTTTGCTCTTTGGAATCAGTCACAATTTCCTTTGTAACCTAGTCAGCAGACAGTTTATATGAATGGCTCCTGTGTATCCTTCAGGAATGTACATGAAATCTTTGTTGGCTACCCAGTCTTGTAAATAGTTGTCTATTAAATTAAACTTGAGGTTTACCAGATGCCCTACCAGATATTTGTTAACCCAGTATGAGAAGATATTCAAATTCCTTATAGCCTGAATTATTTCTTATTTATGTAATAAGATGTTACATTACAAGTTTCAACAGGAGTGCTAAGACACAATAGACATTAGATCACAAAACAAGTTCAGAGAAAGAACCTAGAAAAAACTGTGATATTGTAAGAAAACAATGAATATATGTGATGTTTGTCCCTTGTTCTTGGCACAAAGCTCATAATACCCCAATAATTTCCTGATCGATAGGGATGATATTTGTTACAAAGTTTGGTCTTGGTCCCCGGTTCCTGACACAAGAGTTTCTAAGATTCTTGGAATCTTCAGTGATGAGAGTGTGTTTTTGTTGTTGTTGTTGTGGTGGTTCCTTACTGCATTGTAGGAGCCTCTCATATATACAACATCAGCAGTTTCAGCAGCAGATGGCACACCAAGGAGCACTTTTTAAAATTTATTTCCACAGGTGTTTGTGGAACAGGTGGTATTTGGCTGCATGAGTTAGTTCTTTAGTAGTGATTGTATGCTTACGAGATGACTGGTGGCTGGGGGCCCCTAGAGAGCTTCAGGATGGGGGCTGGTTGCTGGAGAAACCAAGTGTGTGATTGCAGGGTTAGAACCTTCAACCCCACCTCCCGACCTCCTTCTTTGTTCCAAGGAGGGAAGAGGGGCTGGGGATGGAATTAATCTCAAATGGTCAATGACTTAATCCATCGTGCCTATGTAACAAAACCTCCATCAAAACCTTTAGGCAACAGGGTTGAGAGAGCTTCTAGGCTGCAAACACACGGAGGCACTGGGAGGTAGTACCCCCAGAGAAGGCGTGGAGGCTCCAACCCTTCCCCACACCTGGCCCTACGCATCTGTGGTTTGGCCACTCCTGAGCGATATCTCTCATAATAAACTGGTACCAGTGAGTGAGGTGCCTTCCTGAGCTCTGGGAGCCATTCTAGCAGTCTTGAACCTAAGGAGGGGTTTGTGGGAGTCCCTGATTTATACCCAGTCGGTGAGAAGTACAGGAGACCTGGGACTTTCAACCGGGATCTGAAGGGCATGGGGGCAGTCTAGTGGGACCGGGCCCTTAACCTGTGGGGTCTGTGCTAACTCTGGGTAGTGTTAGAAATGAATTGAATTGGAGGACATCCGATTGTGTCGAGAGAGTTGGAGAATTGGTTGGTGTGAGGAGAAAACCCCACGCATTTAGTGTCCGAAGTGTGAGCAGAAAGAGCACAAAATAATCAGATGGAGCAGGGACCCCTCTTAGGAGCCCGCTGACCACTGCCACCCCTACCAGCATGAAATGAAGGACAATCTTAGTCCCTCCAAGGGAAATTCCAGGCCCCTAGCTAGCCTGAGACGCACACGAGCAACCCGATGAGCAGAAAGGGAATAGCAGCTTCACGTCATGGCCACGGAGGTTGGCCCGAGATGCCAGTTCCCCACAGCGACTAAAGATAACATCTGGACACGTGTCCCTGAGTTGTTCTTCGGAAACCCGGACCCCCCACCAAAAATCATGGCAAAAACCATGATTACTTTTTCACCAAGCTAATATTATTTCTTCTCTTGAATTACATTTTGTCTGATACTGATGTTGCTTCTATTCCTTTTCTTTTGTTTTCATTTTCCCAGTATGTAGTTTTTTCATTCACTTATTTTCAACCTCTCTGTAATCAACGTTGGATTTTTAAGCCCCATCTGAGCATTTGCCATTTATCAGTAAGTGTAACCGTCGTATTTATTGAGATTGCAGATTTGTTACACTGACTTCTGCTGTCTTATTTGAGTTTCCCTTCACTATGCTTTCTTTGCCATTTGTCTCCCTTTTATGACTAGTAAGCAGGATACAATCGGCAATACTGTAGTAACAAACTAGCCCCAAGGCTCAGTGGCTTCTTACAAGAGGCATTCGTGCTTCCTCCTGCAATGTCTTCTTCAGGTAATATAACAGTCCAGGGCAGCCCCCTCCCTGCAATGATACAGGGTTCTAGCCTTTCTCCCAGGGCTGAAACTAGGATGAGGCAAGTAAAGCACTCCGGATGCAAAATTTAAGGAGGTGCTCTTTCTCAGGTTCATGGTCACCTCGCAAGCCTCACCTTAGTCCTGGCCCTGCTTTTTCCATCTAGTGGCTGCACTCTTCAACACGAAGCCTACACTGGTTTGCCTCATACTGAGTAATTGAGCACCAAATTTGATTACAGTGTAGCAAAGGCAAATTCATGTCTGCAACTTAAAAATAAGCTACAAGAGCAGGGCGCGGTGGCTCACGCCTGTAATCCCAGCACTTTGGGAGGCTGAAGCGGGTGGATCATGAGGTCAGGAGATCGAGACCATCCTGGCTAACACGGTGAAACCCCGTCTCTACTGAAAAAAAAAATCAAAAAGTTAGCTGGGCGTGGTGGTGGGCGCCTGTAGTCCCAGCTACTTGGGAGGCTGAGGCAGGAGAATGGCGTGAACCCCGGAGGCAGAGCGTGCAGTGAGCCGAGATGGCACCACTGCACTCCAGCCTGGGCGACAGAACAAGACTCTGTCTCAAAAAGTAAATAAACAAAAAATAAAAATAAGCTACAAGAACAAGAATAGTCATTTTCTGGGGTGGGGGTATTGGGAAGATATGGCTCAAAGGATACAAAATTTCTTTTTTGTATCCTTTGATGGAAAAGTATAGGAAAAAAAGTTCAAGGGATCTATTGTACACCACGTATACACATTGTATTAACTACAGAGCACAACATCTCTAGTTAGTAACAATGTATCATATTCTTTAAAATCAATGAGAACAGGTTTTAAGTGATCTCAGCACAAAAAATAGTAAGGTAATTTATATGTTAATTAGTTAGACTGAGCCATTTTACAATGTATATATATTTTAAATGTCATTTTGTACCCAATAAATATACACAACTTTTATTTGCCAATTAAAAAGTTAATTAACTAAAATAAGGAAAAGAATAGCCATTTTTTGCAAACTGCATATAAAAATACTAGTTCTACCTGTGGATTAGTAAAACACTGACATAAAAAATGCACACAAAACAGTAAACATTTTCTAAAAGTACATACAAACAAAAAGATGCACATCAAACATATTAGGAAGGTTGCATATGGGAAGATGGGGAATAGAAATGGGGGGTGGGAATGAAAGAAAATAAACGAGAGAGGGACTGTGTATGGATCAATGATAATAACTCAATAATCTATGTCTTTGACAAAGAAGAAGGAGAAGGAGGATAAAGAAAAGGAAAGTGGGATAAAGGATCAGAAAGGGAGGAAAATAGAAAAAATTAGAGTATGACTGCCAGGGTAGACCTGTTTTATTATTGCTGGGTTTTTTTGTCTGTTTGTTGTATTTTTAGTAGAGACGGGGTTTCGCCATGTTGGTCAGGCTAGTCTCAAACTCCTAGCCTCAAGTGATCAACCCACCTCAGCTTCCCAGAGTGCTGGGATTACAGGTGTGAGCCACCACGTCCAGCCCCTGTACTGCGTCTGGCCTCCGTGGTAGACCTATATTTTGATGGAAGTAATATGTATGTAATTTGCTACTTTTTAAGTAAATTATACCAATTCCAAATTTTACAATACCCATGATAGAAAATTTCAGATTCTTGTCTATAAAAGCTTATTTTACAACTGCCTTTAACTATTCTAGTTTATATTTTAGCTAAGGCTGGTCTTATCAATTAGTAAGACTAGAATCACATACATTCTGACAAAAGAATTTCATATTTTTATGTTAAATTGTTAAAGAAAACTTTATTCCAGACTTCAAAAAAAGCAAGCTGATGATTGCTTGAGTTTTTAAAAATTAGTATCCCCCTAGAATATTTTTTAATAAGCCTGTTTGACCTCATCTGACACCCTTGGGCAGGTAACTTTGCTGTTACCAAACCTTTGTTTAACAATTCTCAGCCAGTGAAAGTGCAGACAGTTCACGGCCAGTGACGTTGGAAACAGAGGAGTTGTCGGGACATTATAGCTTGACAGAGAAGCTGACCTCCAGGTGACACGGACAATAGCCTTCAGAAAGTCAGCCCACTGGGTACCTAACTCAGCAATATTATTTTGCATTCGTTTTTAGACTAACTATATACATCCATATTGCTTAAACGCTGTTCAGTCAGATCTTTTGTCTTCTTGCTTAGATCCTTTGTTACTAAGTCAATATAAAACTTTAACAACTGCTAACATATGTCTTTGAGAATTGTGCTCTTACAACACTGAATGTGAAATGTTTGATCCTTTGAGTTATTTGGCTAAATGGTCACAACAGTTATACTATAATCCTAATGTCTCTAAGATTTCGGAAATAATGTAATAAACATACTACCATGCTCTACTAAAGACAAAGAATATCAAAAGAAGTTTTAAGATCTGGCTTTATGATATTTTCAAGAGATAGCCTAAAAGAGAAAGTTGAAGTGAAGAAAGACATATATATATATATGATATTTATTCATATCAACTAAAATAGGCATTAAAACAAACAAGTATTACTAGAAATAAAAGCGAGTTAAAAGGCTAAATTTATCAGGAAGTTATAGCAATTGTAATCCTGGATTGCTTACTAAAATAGCTTTACATAAAACTACAAAGGGAATTGAAAACTACCCATCAGAGTGGGAGATTTCATTTTACCTTTTCAGTAATTGTTGGGTGAAACACGCAGACATTTGGTAGAGATACAAATTACGCACACCACATAAATAATGCATCTGATCTAAGGGCCGTGTCTAAACACAGAACAGGGGCAGATGATGTTCCTTTGAAAGTTGGCTCTTTGAAAACACTGATAACACTGACATCTCCAGCAGAATTGATCATGGGAAGAAGAGAGCACAGGAATAAGCGGCACACAATATGAGGAATTTTAAATGAGTGTAATTAGAGCTACAGCCAAGATTTAAAATGTAGAAAAAGGGTTGAGAGAGGAGAGTGAGCACACACAGTTCATTTTGCTGCCTATTGAAATCCTTTTAAACCATAGGAAATCGTGTGTGTGTGTGTGTGTGTGTGTGTGTGTGTATTTTCTCCTTTTAGCTTTTAGTTTTTTCCTAGGAAAATAGAAATCCATGGGGAAGGTGACAACAAGAGACAAGAGCAATCCCAAAATGTTTGTTTTTGGAGACAGGGTCTCACTCTGTTACTCAGACTGTAGTGCAGTGGTGTGATCTAGGCTCACTGCAGCCTCATCCTCCTGGGCTTAAGTGATCCTCCCACCTCAACCTCCTGAGTAGCTGAAACTACAGGCATGCACCACCATGCCTGGCTAATTTTTGTGTGTGTGGTAGAGTTGGGGTCTTGCTATGTTGCCCAGGCTAGTCTCAAACTGCTGGCCTCAAGCTCCCCTCTCGCCTCAGCCTTCTAAAGTGCTCAGATTACAGGCATGAGCCACCATGCCCAGACCTGGCCTACAAAACTTTTGTTGCTAGAAAATGGATGGGCAAGATCTCAAATCCTAAACCAGCAACAGAGTGCGCTGAGAACTGACAAAATGTATACCAGTAAAATCCTCAAAAGTCTCAGGCACGGCCGGTGCAGAACCTGGGAGAGAGAAGCTAGACTCAGGAGGCTTGGGTCAGAGTGAGAAGTCATCATCCCCGGATGCCATTCTCCACTCCAGGCAGGCACTGAGGACAGGGCCCTCTCTGAGAGTGAGGAGATAAAGCAGTGGGTACGCATCGAGTGCTGATTCCAGAACAGCAGGTGGCCTTCACTCTACAGGCAGGAGGGAAGATGGTTTTTCTCTGCAGAATCTGACCCACCCCAAGGAAAAGGCCTCAAGGCACTTGCTTAGGACTCCTCTCACCCTGATCATACTCACAGATACAAGACCCACTCAACACAAGGAATGTCCAGGCAGGTTCCTAACCTGACCTAATCAAACGACAACAAGACAACAGGAAGTGTCTGCGAGCAGCAGCTGACTTGAAAGACAGACTGCCAAACAAACGCAGAAAGAGCAACTTGGTGGAAGAGCGCCAGGCAGGAGACAACCCTTTTTTTTTTTTTTTTTTTTTTTTTGAGATGGACTCTTGCTCTGTTGCCCAGACTGGAGTGCAGTGGTGCAATCTCGGCTCACTGCAACCTCCGCCTCCTGGGTTCAAGCAATTCACCTGCCTCAGCATCCTGAGTAGCTGGGATTACAGATGCCCACCACCAGGGCCAGCTAATTTTTTGTATTTTTAGTAGAGACAGGGTTTCACCATGTTGGCCAGGCTGGTCTCGAACTCCTGACCTCAAGTGATCTACACACCTCGGCCTCCCAAAGTGTTGGGATTATAGGTGTGAGCCACCGTGCCTGGCCAACCATTTTTAAAAGAAGAAAAAAATACCTTTGGAGGAATTAGAGAAGCTACTACATCTATGAAAAGAACAGGCTGCTCCACAAATGAAAATTCAGAAGTATAAAAATTTTTTAATTTCTTTAAGAATTTTAATTTTAAGAAATTGAAAAAGAAAATAGCAAAAATGAAAAACATGCATTTGAGAGGATGGAAGATACAATTGATGAAATCCTTTCGCAGAAAGGAAAGCAAAGGGGCAAAGAAATAGAAATGATAAGAAAAAAAAGGAAGAGAAATAAAGAATGATTTCAGGATCTGCGTAATAGGAGTTCCAGAAATAACATTTTTCAACATATAAGTGACAGGAGATTCAGAAAGAAGAGACAAAGCAGACAGGATGAATGAGAACACCCTGGTCAACCCTGCTCTGTGCGGCAACACTAGCTGTGCCCCCACTGCCTTCCCCTCCATATCTCTGTTCATTTTCTTTTTCCTTTTTTTTCTTTTTTTTGAGACAGAGTCTCACTCTGTCACCCAGGCTGAGTGCAGTGGTGCGATGCCACATCGCCCAGCTAATTTTTGTACTTTTAGTAGTGACGGGGTTTTGCCATGTTGGCCAGGCTGGTCTCGAACTCCTGGCCTCAAGTGATCCACCGGCCTCGGCCTCCCAAAATGCTGGGATTACAGGCATGAGCCACGCGCCCAGCCTCTCTGCTCATTTTCTGAAATGGTTCTTGAGCCTTCTCAGTGATTTTGTGAACTAGATGATAGCTTTACAATAAACTCATTTCCTGCTTAGGTTTTTTTAAACATAGTAAGATAATATTACAAAAAAAACTTTTTGCCAATCAATTTGAAAACTTAGGTGAGAGGGATATATTTCTATAAAAATATAAATTACCAAAACTGGTGCAAGAAAAAAATTAACCCAAGTAGTTCTCCCACCATTAAAAATTAACAATAATAACAAGATGATAATGAGAATAAGTGGTCCCACAAAGAACACTGCA